ATTGCAGCGGGGGCACGGTAATGGCTCCGACAACTTCGGCGGCGGGTACGCCGCCGTCGTGGCTTGGACCCGACCGGGTCGGATCACGTGACCCGATTCGGACGAAGGCATTTAGGTTCAAAGAAAGAGACAAAAAGAAGGATAGATTAGAGAGAGAGAGAGAGAGAGAGAGAGAGAGATGCAGAGAGAATGGCGAGGAAGCAGGGGGATGTTTTGGGAGTGGCGAGGTGGGTTTTATATTTATATTCTTTTTAACTGACATTTCCTTTTTCTCACTATTTCTTTTAAATTCTATTGTAAATTTTAAATTTCTTAGGGGGTTTAGGGCTAATTACGTTATTAAGGTTAATATCACAATGATTACCATAATAATCAAAATCATCATCTAACACACGTCACGTATAGTCTTATTTGCGTTCTGGTTATCCTCCATAGTTTCTAGGAGTTGGCTTAAAATTAATCAAAGATTCTAGTCTTAATTGTTCCAAGTTACTAAATATCCAATTTGGATAATTTAATTGGTGAAATAGTGATGCAACATTTGTCCCGCCCTGAATTCGAATCTTAAATTGGGAAGAAAAACTAAATTTCAATCATATGGTTTATTTTCGTCTTTGAAATTAGTCTAAGACCAGTTTAGGATATCTAATTATCCAAAAAAAAATTTTTACTAATAAGTATTGTCAATTACTTATAAATTTGCCAAAATATTAGAACGATGATCTATATATTTCGAGTTTTGGTTATTTTTTATTAGTAAAAACTTTATCATTTTTGCTTTTATATAAAAAATTTATCATTATGGTTTTTAGTAAAAGATCTACCACTCGGTAAAAAAAAATGAAATTTCATTTTTTTGTTTGTTTCTTGATTCTATGATATTCGAATAATTTAGTTATAAGAATTATATACAATTAATTGTAAGAATTCATTTGATTTAGATACAATTACGTACATACTATTCGATTCGGTTTGATTCCATTTTGATTAATCGGAATGCTCGCCAGTTGTTAGAATAAATACAAAATGACAAATACATAGACTTCTTCTTTTTAATTACTTCAATTTTTTTTTAAACATAATATTATATATGGTTTTAGTGATTCTGTGCTCCAACGACACTAATATCAATTATCAAATTAAAACCACATGTGTTTTTTGCATCTTTAGACATTAATGTATTTAGGAAATAATCATGTAACTGGCAACAACATTTTGATAATGTAAACCGTGGTTATACAGTTATAATGCGTGGAATCTATATTTTTTTTTTAGTTTTATTTGATTTTTACTATATCCGAAATCATGATATCCTAACATTCTCATTATATATATATATATATATATATATATATATATAGCCTAATAATAGTTATTTATAATGATAATATCTAACCCAGAGTGTATATAGTTAGTTTTGTTACAAACTAAATTCTACGAGGAACCAAATCCAAATTCGTTGTAGAATAAATATGGTTAGGTTTATTTAAATAAAAAAATTAAAAAAATTCGAATGGGAAACAGTAGCTAAATCTGATGCCATGGACCGACAGCATGATCGAGAATGCTCGACATCGTGGATGGCTATCGTTGGTCGCCGGTTTCTCCACCTTATATTTTTATTTATTTATTTTTAACATATACGTATATTTTTATCCGACCAAAAACCCAATGTGTATATTATATATATGAGATTATATTGAGCTCTGTATACAAATATTATATATAAGGCTCTATAATGATAATGCAAATCTTGGATCGTTTGTAATATTATTCATGTGGAAAATAAAATAAATGCATGCTTATTAGGTCTGCTTTCTAGAAATTATAAATGTTACTAGTTATGTCTCGTCCCATTCACATCTATATATAAAGCTACCAACCTATTATTTGATCTCCAATTATAAATCATTTAAATGTTATCAAGTAAAGAAATTAATTGCATTCGCCTGTTGGTGCTGTGTGTATATATATATATATATAACATGTTTTGTGTTTTAAGCTCAAAGTTAAATCATTTTAGATCCATTGATTTTAAAATTTCTTTAGCAAGGTCCCATTGTTCAATGACTAACAAAAAAAAATCATTGGATTCATATCCAATACTATTTATAAAAGTTTCATAAAAATAAAAATATATAATTTTGACAGAGTTTTAAATTTTATTATATGCACATTAGTTCCGTTACACACACACACACACACATATATATATATATATATATATAATCCCTTACCTCATAATTTAATAAATTATAATTGAACAAGCTAGAAAATATATGAATACTTTGATTAAAGGGTTCATTTATATAATTATTGAAAATAATTTAACACTGAATATTTTTCGTAAAAAAACAAAAAGTAAAACTTAATGCATTGATATCTAGAAATTTCATTTTGTTTTATCACGTAAAAGAATTTATATAATTGCAATCGTCCTTAGATACCAATATGTGGGGTTATTCATTTATTTCTTTGAGCTATAATAAAAGAACGGATGCGCAGGTGAGAAACGCAGCGTCTTAAAACGCGCTGAAACGCAAACGCAGCGTTTGTATTTTATAGACTTGCAAGATGACTCTGCGAGCGAGTAAATTTACGCGTTTTGGCCTATCATCTTTTAAGGAAACTGTCTATGTTGACTGGTCAGTTGACTTTTCTAAGTGACAGCGACATACAAACTGACCATCCACGTGTTGAAATTCTATTGGTTGACCAAAAACACAGAAGCAGGGCGACTGCAGGAACCGAGTCCTGCAACAGAGAAGTTCAAACTGTCCCATGTCCCAACCCGAGGATTTGGAGAAAATCGCTTTTCAAAATTATTCGATAATCGGTTGACCAATAAACCATTATCGAGATTGAAACGAATATGAATATTTTGTTTTTTTTTATATTTATAATAGTCCATTTATACCTTCGATCCAATCTACATCCCTCAGATCCGGGAGAAGCCTTTAGAGTATATTTAAGGATTTAGAAAGCAACACCGTAAATACACTCATCCTTCCCCATCAGCTGGTTTCGAACTGATGACTGGAATCCAGAGAGTAACACCCTTTCGCCACTCGACCACCTAATGATGGATATATTTTGTTATTTTCTACTATAATGTTCATTATGTTGTGACCATAAAAATCGTGATGGAGATGTTATATTTGTTTTCCAAATTAAGATGAAAATTTGCTGCATTATAAGTATTTGAATCTACGTATTAGTATATTTTTTTATAAGATAATCATTTCAAACTTTTTTTTTATTGAAGAAGCCTAAACAATTGACGATATTTTTATATAAACTAAAATCTTGGAGATCTTTTTTTTTTTTTGGATTGTGCCAACCTCCTTGACATAAACGTTTTCCATCACCTGACAGGAGAATTAGTTTTATTTTTAAAAAAAATATAACTATATGCCTCAGACTTAATAAAATTATAAATTTAGCTACAATTATCCAAAATTCTATATATTTCAAATACCTTCAAGTTTTTATATCAATTGTAATTAAGTTGATATTAAGCAGGCCCAATTATAAATATGAGTGGAATTTAATGGGCCTTTATGGCCCATATATTATAACCAACAGATCTTTAAATTTCCGATTTTTTTTTCCTGCTCAGTGAATTTCAGATTTATTATACAGGGGGAAAAAACCTCCTCTTCTTCAACCTCAAAGCTTCGTCGTCGTCGCCGGATCTGTAGCTTCAGCATCTCCGGAAAGACAACGTCGCCGGAAAAATGACGCTGTTTCACTTCTTCAACTGTGCGATTCTCACCTTTGGTCCTCACGCTGTCTATTACTCCGCCACGCCGTTGTACGGGAACCCTCTAATTTGTGATTTTTTTTTTCTTCCTTTTTTTTGTAATGTTCTGCTTTATCGATCTATGATTCCGACTTCTCTGGATTTGGTTCTTAAAACTGTTATCTGTTGCTTGTTGTCCGGTCTGAATCGTGTTTCCATCTTCTCGGTGGTAGAAGAACCTTTTTTTTTTGTCTGATCCGACAAAAATATATTTGCGCGAACTTGGGAAATTATCGATAGTGCCTACTTCTGGGAGAATAATTCTCTGCAATTTGCTATATTTTCCCTGTGTTCTGTTGAGACAGAATCAAGGGTACAGTGAGCTGTAGTTCTTGTTTGCAATTTGCAACCCTTTTCCTGTTTTCTGTTGATATTGCTTGAAACCTAATAGCTACAAGTTCGAGTTAACTTGAATTCGTTTGGTTATGATCCTTAAGCATTCTATCCATATAGCAAATGACTCCAAAATCTGAGCTAATTCTCCCTCGGATCCCTGAACTCATACCCACCAATTTTTTTTTTGTTGGGAATCCACAAAAATTTGTCATATATATGATCAGGTTTAATGATGACATTTACTCTTGTGGTGTTCATACGCTTTCCGCTGGTGTCGATATGTCATGCTGGTGTATCTCTGGCCATGATTCTCATTGTTGCTCTCTGGTGGTTGAACGTAGAATTTCCGAGAATATAGTTTCTCTGTATGCATACTGGTAATGGGTAGTGATTATTCGCAGATCTGAATATGACACACTCGGCACCTCTGTCAAGGCTGCAGTTGTTTACCTCGCAACAGCATTAGTAAAGGTTGGTGCCGAAAGCTATGTTTTCATTCAGTTGAATCTCCCTTGGGCATGAAATCTCTGTGGATGCATTTTTTTATGTGATTCTTGTTCCATATATTGTTACTTTCTGCAGTTAAGCTTATCTTCATTCTAATCAGTTCTGTATTGCATTTGCAGCTTGTTTGTTTGGCAACCTTTCTTAAAGTATCAGAGACCGACACTTTTGATCCGTACCAGGTATTCTCTTCAAGTTACATTAATCTGGTTCTCAAACTTTTGCGTGCAAGTTTGTTATTTGTTTATCTGTTCATAGAATGATGTTTTTCTCTTAATTCTCCGTGGAAAGTGAACAAACTGTATAAAGTTTGGACATTATCTGTTGCTAACATTCCCCTATTTATATTTTTCTTGGCCTTCTGTTGCATTTGTGTCTGTGTGTTTATATCTGTGTGTGTGTGTGTGTTTATATCCCGTTCTGCCTGTGCCCATGTGTCTACCTGCCTTTCTCTGTGAGACAGTGTGTATGTATATATGTGCATGTTTCTGTTCTGTTTTTTGAGGTAATACTCCACTTTCTCCCTGATGCCAGTGCCTTATGAAACATTATTTGCACAACCCTTGAACACTATTGTGTTACCTTTCTATGCCGGGGTGCAATCTTGATCAGTTAACAACGAGCCAACCTCCCTTGTCTCAGGAACTACTGAAAGCACTGATTGGCTTCATAGATGTCGCCGGTCTATATTCTGCATTGACTCAGCTGACTCACAGGAACATCTCCCAAAATCACAAATTTCAGGCAGTTGGGCTCGGTAAGCGACTTTCACTTCTTTCAAAAATAGTTGGCTCAGCCTGGGCGGCATATGATAGATGTGTTAATTAATGTAACGTTTCATATTACAGATTGCAGCATTGCATATCATTTAGAAAAAGAAAAAGCTTTTTTTTTTTGTGAAAGTTTCTGTGAGTTGTTTCCATTGGGAATCAACAGTATACGAGACCTATATCTGGAGTTAACGTCTATCATATGATAATCTGCATCAAGATTTATCAAAATGTGGTTTGAATGTGAGCAATGTGTTGATTTTTTTTTTTACATGCTGTGCAGGATGGGCTTTCGCTGATTCTGTTTTACATAGGTTGGCTCCTCTCTGGGTCGGGGCGAGGGGGCTCGAGTTCACGTGGGATTACATTTTGCAAGGACTTGAAGCGAATGCGAATCTGGTACACCCTTTTTCTAGGGTTTTACGTGATATTTAACGGTTTGCATGCTCGTTTTTTTTTTCACCGTGCCAAAAGATCAATCTAAACTTCCACCCGTCTCTCCGAAATCAGGTGTTTAGCATATCTTTAGCTGCTCTGGGTTCGTTGATGTGGCTACGAAAGAACAAGCCCAAGACCCTTATCCCCGTTATATACATGTGTGCGGGGATTTTAGCGACAATGCCTTCTATTACGAGCTACCTAACGCGATGCATGGGATGGCATTTCCCCCGAGTCGTTGGGTTCGAGCTGGTAACTTCTCTGGTTATGGCTTTCATCAGCTGGCAACTCTTCTTCCTCTGTCAGAAACCCTCGTCTTGATTTTACCCTGTCGAGACCCAAGGCCACTTCAACTGCCTCAAGGCCTTTGGTTTCTCTTTTTGTTGTTTCTCGGGGAAATTCTTCTCGAAAAGCCTTCGTCTTTTTATTGCAGGGATTGTTTTCCGACCAAGTTGCTATCCGTGTCGAGAGTTCGACTCCGACGTTTGGACCTTTCCTCATGTAGTTTGGTCTCTGTCCGGTAGATTCATTGACAGAACATCTCTTTACTTACCACTTTGCCGGAAAATCAGTGATTTTGAATTAAACGTTGTTAGTTTACGGATGAGCATGGATCAGGGTGCCGAGTATTTCGGCGTACCCGACCTCAGCTTCACCCCTCGGGTTTCTCGGTTGGACTATCCGACCTCGACTTTGTGAATTGTTGTAGGTATCACCACAAGGTTAACCGATCATCCGATGAAGACTCGCTCCAAACCTTCGCGAACTTACCGTGGCCTCCACTGTAAACCAACCAACGTCGATCTCTGTCGTCGTTTCCACCGCCAGCATCTTTCTCCACCGCTAAACCATTCATCTTCGGATTCAGTTAATTTGGTTATAAAAAATTTATAATTATTCGGTTTTTATATTAAATTTGATTCGATTCGGTTTTATTGTTAAAATATTCATTTTTTCTAATAAAATTTTAGATTTTTTTTATTTGATTTTGTTCGAATTCATTTTTTTCAAATTAAAATAAAAAATGTAACTAATCGATTTTATATCTAATTTAATTTGCTTCGGATATTTTATTAATAACCAAAATGGTTATTCTACCTCTTTTTACCCATACTTTTTGTTCTCTCCTTATTTTCCTTTCCGAAACTTTTTTTTTTCCATTTTGCATTTCTCTTTACCAATTTTGGACCGACTTTTTGGTTTGATTTGAATTTAGATTTAGATTTTCTAATATTAAAAAGCTATTTCCTGCTCTTATCGCTTTTACATATAAGGAATCAATCATCATGGATTATATATATATATATATATTTGTAATTGAACAAACCTAGGGATAAAACCGAATTTTTCTCTTTCCCACTTCCATTTTGGTATATATTCTCATCTTAAAAAATACTTTAAAACTATATGATTACTACTTTTTAGATTAATCAAAAGGATATAGGAATCAATGCTTCATATAGATCCACTAGCAAACAGAATAATAAAGCGTATATTTTTGGCATCATATATGATATCTGTATTGCAACATTTTCACAGTTATTCACGGATAAGGGTAGATAATTTAATATAAACAATCTCATGTAATGATATGGATATTGTTTTCAATGTTGGTAGGGCTCCTAAAACCGGTTCGGTTATTGAAATCGAATTAAAACAAACCGGATAATAGTATTTTTTTTTGTTTGATTCGGTATCACAATAACGGCTCGGGTACGAAAATGGAATATAACTAACTGAATTGGATTAAATTTGGACATAATCGAAAAAAATCGAGTATTAATTTGACTCTCATGTTCTTCACGGTGGTAGACACACATGGCTTTTCGGGAGTGCTGCTAGATTCTCTAATTTTTTTTTTATAAATATTCATATAATATAATCATCAATTAGGTTTACAAAAGAAGAAAAAATTGGAGAGAATAAGAAACTGAAAAACATTAAATGCATAAAATTGCATAAACGATTTAAATATTTGTCGTCTGTTTTTGCAGATTGACCACCGACAACCTCGAGAACACCATAAGCAACCAATGCCTATATTCACATTATCCTCTCCTAAAATTGTACTTAATTACAGTTTTTTTTTAATTAAATTCAACCTTTTATAATTTCTTCTTTACATTCCAAACATGCCAGTGAAAAAAAAAATCAATATTAACATCTAAATAAAAAAAATCAGAATTAAAAAAAGTCCTCGTTTATCAAATCGAAAATATAGTTTCAGGTAGATATAGATAAATATTTTAAATTTTTGGCTTCAATTATTTTTAAATTCTTTTAGAAAAATGATTTTTTTATTCGGTTTTATATCAAAAAATTATTTAATCGAAATTCTGTTTGGTTCTTTTATTAAAAATAAATATTTTAAAAAATGGGGTATTCTTCTTTTATTTTCACATTATTCGCTGCAAACTAATTTATTATTGTTTTAAAAAACTCATATTAAACAAATTTTAGTAGCATGTGTATTGTGTACTATGTAACTTGGATAAAATTATATCTTATTCATTTTGATACTATTATATATATATTCCTAGTTTCACATAAAAATAATCAATCAGAATTTAAAGGATAGATTCTTGGTCGGCAATAATCTAGTTTTAAGCTTTCCTTTATAAGTACAAGTTTTGAAGCCTTTTTTATAAGAAAAAAGAGTTAAAAATTTTGTCCTCTCTCACGAGAGTACCTCTTGCATCCCATTAAAAAAAAAATAAACATTATCCCTATCTAAAAAAAACTATAATAACGCATTAAAATATATAATAGCCATGGTCGAATTGAAAATTAAATAATAATTAACCATGAACCTTTTCACTATAAGTAACCCCCCAAAGCTTTCACCACTCAAACCCTCACACCATTCATCAATTAAATCTTAAAGAAGCTCTCTCTCATGGCTTCTTTAGTGGTTCGAGACGGAGCAAGCAACGACGACAACGCTTGCGAAGTTGTCGAAAACCCTAATCGTGTTTCAAGCCATCTTCACCTCATCAGACCAAAACAGTACACCAAACAAACCCTAGACAGAGAGGCGGTTCTGCGTCGTATCCGACAACGCAGAAGGGGGAACAGGGTCAGGTCTGTGCTCCGGTCTCTGTTCGGCTTTACGCATCGGAACGAGAAATGCGAAGATCCTACGACGGATAAACAGGATCTCGAAACAAGACATGGGCGGATGATGCCTTTGCCGCCCCTTGATTCGCTTGGATAACTTGTATCTAAATCTAATACGTACCCTTTGGTGATATGATTTTTTTTTCGTTGATAATCTCCTCGCTAAGACGAGGATTAGGGTTTATGTTTGTTGCTTTTGAGAAGTCGCAGTGTTTTTGTACAAAGATTAATCATGTAAAATAATATGTAGTTCTGAATTTATATGTTCGACGATTTGCAGCCATAGGTAACGCCAAATCGTGAGTGAAGTACTGTATTTATTAGCTATTCGGAATCGTCAATTTATAAGCTTGTGTTTGTCTTAATAGAATGAAAATTAGTTTTTATAAATTTTAAAAAGGATGAACTATAAGAATCAAAGAGAATCCCTGTAATGTAGCCTGTAATTAGGGTGGCCATTTCGGTTATTAACCGAATAATCAAACCGAACCGAATCGAATAAGACATAACCGTACCCGAACCGAATTCGACATCAAAACCGAACGGTTATGATTTTCTTAAACCCGAAAAAACCAAAACCGAATAAAAAATAACCAGAAAAGCCAACGATTTTTTTTTTACAAAAATGAATTTTTTACCGAAACCGAACCGAACCGAATCGAAAAATAACCGAACCAAACCGAACCGGAGTTTATATAAAACCGAATGGTTATAGTTTTTCTATAACCGAGATAACTGAACCCGAATATAACCGAACCTGAACCGAAATCCAAAAAGACCATCCATACCTGTAATAACAGAACAAAAATAAATTGGGAAAAAAGAAAAGAAAAAAAATAAGAGAAATAAAAGAACGAGTCCAAAGGTTAAGAAGAAGGAGAGATTTAAATTGAAAGTGGCATTTAAGAACAAGGGGAGAAAAGGCACGTGAAAAGGACGATATAGGGAATGTTATAAGAAGCAAGATTCAAGAAAAAATGATAAAGCTTAGGATTTGGTGTAACGTATATGTTATATCAAGTTACCCAAAAACATGAAATGTAACATCAAAATTACATATTTAGATTACCAATTACCAAATTTTAAAACATGATTAAAAAAAAGGAAAGAATAACTAATATACGATGCCGATTCCCAAATATCCACGCCTAAGCTCCAACTACATATCTATATTAACATCTTACTAGATCAAGTTTCCAAATATATTATGATTCTACGGTAGGAGATATTAATTTTTGTACGAAGAATTTCATTTGTTTTCATTTATTTGTTTTAAATTGCGAATTAATAATGTGGTTTTTCCTTTGAAAAAATAGTACGGAAAATGTAAGACAAAATACATCGTTACATCCACAAAAAAGATGTTTTCCACCGGTTACCAAAAATAAAACAACCCACAGACACGTGTCGGTAAATGATTTGTCTGTTTACAACTTCGGTTACCTTAGACCTTCCACGATCAATCATGTGACGTGGTTTCTCAGAAAAACCGGAAGGGTCTTCCCAAAAACCCTGAAATTCCCCCGGCGGTTTTCACGGTGAAAAAATGGAATCGCAAGCCCTGTGCTTGGAGCTCACTCCTCCTAGATTTCGATTATCATCTCAAAATTTTGCCTCACATCCTCCTCGGGTATGCATGATTTCTTGAAAGAATCGTGAAATTTTGATTCCTTGGGTTCTCAACCGTATCCGAAATTCGCCATTTGTAGTTTTCGGGGTTTAAATTCTTTTCCTTGCTTCCAGTTGCAGCATTTACGCATTCGTTTGGCAGCCGAGAAGATCGGATAGAGTTCTCATGTAATCGGCGATGGAATTACAACGTTCGCTGTAAAATGGGTTCTCTTCTTTTTCTGTTATTCCTTTTTGTTTCAGAAAGCTTTGCCTATGGGTTTCGGAATGCGTCGTATTGTGAGTAAGCTAAGAACGGCATCCTCATAGCCATAGGTAAGAGCTCACCTATCTCCTCTGCATGGTTTGATGTTTCAGAGCTGTAAGATTTCTATGTACGCATTCCAGCCTCAGGGCGTATAATGTCGTAGCATTGTTAAAATCTTTGGTACATGAACTCTATCATGGGGATGTGTAGTGAAAATCGGAAACTAAATTAAAGTTTTGCTGGGTGGATCGTTAACACTGTTTGGGTCCGAAAGGTTGAAACTTTAAAGTCCGAGACATCTTTACTCCTTTATCTGCTACCCTTTTATGCAATCTCTACAATTTTGCCTTCTGGTCGAATTTATCTTATTTCAAGCCTTGTAACCTTTGTTTCTTGCTGCAGAAATTGTCGCTTCTATTTGCTATGAGTTCGATGTTTTATGCCGGTCTTGCTATGTTTCTGTGTGCAACTGAACCACACTTAGAGTTCAGTTGCGAGAGATTGGATCCAATCATGGTATTGCCTTTCCGATGATCCGAATGTGCTCTTTACATGAACTGGCCAGCTCTAGGAATAGATATGTATATGTTGATGGCAATGGTTCCTTGAAGTTATTAATGTGGCATACAATCTAAAAAATCTTCTGGTTCTTTGTGTAGTGAACGTTTTATAGGATTAGGGTTACGCTTTTGGTGATCGTTGATTTGGAATTAGAAATCGTGTATTGTATTGTATTGTATAGTTGAAAACTACTGATTCCTAGCTGTTATTTATCTCTGGTCACTCTATCATATCTCTCTTAGACCTCTTCCCTTCCCGGCCCATAAAACTACTGATTCCAAGTGTAATGCTGTACATGTAGCCCATTGGAGCTGCTTTCGTGTTTCGGTTTTGCCCGTTTCAGAATACGAGATGGAACACCGAAACGAGCTTTATAGTGTGTATGCAATAGGATGTCTGATTTAGCAATTTCTCCCGCAGCATTTTTGCCTTATGGAACTTTTGTTTTCTGTATGTAGAGCTCGGCTTGTGTTGCGGGCTACGGGTTCAACATGAGAAACGAGAGTGGTGACATCATTGGCGAAGTTTTATCCAAACCCTGGATATATCCTTAAACATTTTGTGTGTTTCGTTACCAATGATCTCTGCGTAAGCGTCTTTGAATCTCTAAAAAGATGAAATAGCTTGCTTGTTATCTCTTACAATGTTCTCTATATATTCTTGGTGAAGTTGTGGCTGTGTCTCTATATCCGATGGCAACGACTGAATCGTGCTTGATTCTGGTTTATGCCACCATTGTTAACTAGACCTTGGAGTGTTGCTGACAAGTTTTTCGACATGGAAAGGCTCGAAATCTGCACAGACCTGAAGCATTTTGGCTAGTGTCACTTGTTCAAGTTTCTTAAGATGGGTTTAGCATCAAGATGCCAGGGTCGAGAGTATGGGTATTTTTGTTCTTTACATGGGTGCCCGTGGTTACCGTCTAGATGCCAAAATGACCATATTATCCCTCTCTTTCAAGAAATTTACAGATATGCCGTCAAATTAAAAATAAATAAATTAAAGTTTCAAGCTTTGTAGTAGATTCTAGGACTATTTTGATGAATTTGAGTTTGTATTGATTCCGTAGTTGGGTTTAGGATTTTTATTACGAATTTGGGTTTTCATTATTGTACTCAATTTGGTCCGGTTACGTACCGAATAACAATTCAAACAGAATAATATATAATTGTACTTAAATTGAATATAATATAAAATCGAATGAATTTAATTAGTTTTAAATTCTATTAATCCGAGTGCAATCTAATTTGAATATATGAAAATGATTGAATATGAAATCAAATTCCGAGTGCGATCAATAAGAATCGAATCCGATTCCAACTCAAATTCGAATGAAAGCTGAGTCGAATATTCAAACCCAAATAAAATAAAAATTAAACCAAATTGAAGCAAACCAAAAACCGAAATATCAAAATCCATATACACAGACAGGAAACTCAAACATGTAATTGTGTATACAAAACCTTCATTAATTCACAATCAACCATAACACAACCACACTTCATCGCATTTAATTACATTAAGCACGTGTTAATTACACGTGTATGCTCCATGTGTACTTAAGAAAATTTCAAGCACGTGGTTTATATGCAATGTGTTTCTAGAGATTTCCAAATCAAGGATAAAACAATGAGGTCCTTTTCAATTTCGATACTCCCTTTTAGATACGTACACGGTTCACGGTCAACCACATTACCTAACTTTGGAAATAAAAAACATTACATGCGATTTCTCTTCCTTGTTGTCTTTTTTATTTATTTATTGTTATGTCTGCAAATTAAATTTGCCCACGCGTTTTCTTTCTACCTAAGCCACCGACCTTGGGCTTTCTGCAGTTCATCGAGCCTCTGTGTTCGTGTATATATGTATGTATGTATATACATATACATGCGTTATATATTGACTTGAAGTTTGCTTTGGAACTGTTTTGATCCTGCGGATTTTGCCGTTCTTCGTGAAGGTATTCAAGCAGCAGAAACGAGTGAACCATGGTGAAGAACAACATTATCCGTGGGTGTAAAAGGTAACATATATTATATATATCTCGATTCTTTCTCTCTTTTAGATTCTTTGGCTTGATCCTTGGCAAAACATATATATATATATATATGATCACGTGTTCGCATTTATCTTCTTGATCGTTCTTCGTTTAGACCAAGATCTCTCTCTCTCTCTCTCTCTCTCTCTCTCTCTCTCTCTCTCTCTCTTTCTCTCTCTCTCTCTCTCTCCCTCTCTCTCGCCTTCTTGATCGTTCTTCGTTTAGACCAAGATCTCTCTCTCTCTCTCTCTCTCTCTCTCTCTCTCTCTCTCTCTCTCTTTCTCTCTCTCTCTCTCTCTCCCTCTCTCTCGTTCAGTCGTGCCATTAACAAAGAACGTATAGTCTCCGTTGTTGTGATTAAAGCTTTTAATTACTTTAACATCATCTCGTGTTGATGCTTTTTATGTATTTGTAATAATTAAATTGCTTTATTAATTAATCAGGAGGATTTTCAAGTTGAAGGGGCCGCAAATAAGTTTCATGAGCAACAACAAGAACACACATTATGGCATCAAAACCATCGGAGCTGACGATTACAACTCATGCAGCTTTTCTGGTAAATCAGATCTTTGCATCCGAATCGTCACATGGAACATGAACGGAAAGGTACGTCACGTGCATGTAATTTTCATTATACACCGACGATATACACATATATACATATATGTACACATTCGTTATGATATTCTTTTTTCATAACTAACATGGATCTAAATCCGGATGTCTAAGAACAATCCCACGAATGGGACGAGATTTTTCTCTCAATTCTGTCTTTGAATTCTCAACAGATTTTTTTTCCACGTGTTATTATTATTCAGACGATGAAGAACATAAGGTTTTACACAACTTTTTGAAGACGTAATCCACACCAAACCGAACCGAACCGACCTAAACCAATCTGACACTCTAATACATAGGTTGTCCAATTAATTCGGCTATTTTTTTTATGTATAAAAAAAACTTGTGAAGGTTTCTTACGAAGATATGGTTGAGCTAATTGGGAAAGAGAGGAGATTTGATCTTCTGGTGATCGGCTTACAAGAAGTCCCCAAAGGCAATGTTTCACAGCTTCTGCAGACAGCTTCATCCGAAACTCACGTGTAAGTATATATATGTATATATAGTATGATAATTCTGATAATAATTCTTATGGATTATTTACTTAATTGGGTATCTTTATATTTATTTTCAGGCTGCTTGGGAAGGCAAAGATGCAATCCATTCAGCTATATTTGTTCGGTCCAAAGAATTCGGAAACGCTACTAAAAGGTATGCATGTCATTCTAGAACCTAGATTGGTGGCATTAGATTACTGTAATTGAGAATCATCTTAGTTATTTTAAAGAAAAATCACATATAAATACCTAAACTTTTATAAAATTTCCAAATGAAACAATATTCGTTGATGACTAAGTTATCAATTATCAACGGATGTCGTTATAAGTTTAACGTCGTTAATAGATTTTGGTTTTATTTGGTAAATTTTTAAAAGTTTGGATATTTACGTGGAAGTTTTGAAAGGTTCAGGTATTTATTTGAAAATTTTATAGTTCTGATATTTTTTTTTGTTGAGAATTTTATAAAAGTTTAGGTATTTATATGCGATTTTTTCTTATTTTAATTGATCCGTATAAATTTACAAAATCAGTTTGAATATTACGTGTCTTAAAAACACTAAGCTGTTTATATTATTGTCTTCAAAATAAATATGTCGAGATTCACACCTAATTATTATAATGTGTGTATATACATATATGTGTGTCTGCAGAATTAAGGGTGGAGAGGCATTCGGTGGGAGGATGCGGATGTTTGATAAGACGAAAGAAAGGAGCAGTGGCTCTTCGAATTAACTACAAAGGCATCAAAATGGTCTTCATCTCTTGTCATCTCTCCGGTACATACATACACATATACATATATACATACTTACATATATATATACACATCGTATCATTCGTGTGTTATGATTGTAACAGCTCATGCGAAGAAAGTAGAAGAGAGGAATTCGGAGTGTAGGCACATATCGCACTCGCTGCTCTCGTCATCGGACACTTACAGAGGTTCTCGTCATCTCACTGTCTGGCTCGGAGATCTCAACTACAGGATCCAAGACGACATCTCCAATCGTCCTGTCCGTTCCCTTATCCGTCGTCATCTTCACTCGGTATCTCCTTCTCCTCTTTTCTCTCCATCGATTATCTCTCTTTCTTTTCCGAGATAGAATGCCGTGTTTATACATAAACTACTTCGACGTTTTACACCGAAAATAGAACATCCGACCAAATCTCAAGTAATGTATATGAGAGTGATTACACAATTTCAAAATTGAGTGTATGGTACTAGAACATTTTCAAGCAATATATATATATGGTGTTTGATGGCAGTTTCTTGTTGGGAAAGACCAACTCTTGCAAGAAGCAGAGAGGGGCCAAATCTTCAAAGGATACTGCGAAGGGACGCTGTCGTTTAAACCGACGTACAAGTACAACATAGGGAGCAGCAGCTACGACACGAGCCACAAGGTCCGAGTCCCGGCTTGGACCGACAGGATCCTGTTCAAGATCGAAGATCCCGGAAAGATCCGAGCAAGTTTACATTGTTACGATTCTATTGATGAGATCTGCGGTTCAGACCACAAGCCCGTCAAGGCACATCTTTGCCTGAAGTTGGTTCACCAATAGATCCTCTTTGGATTTCTTCTGTGTTGGATTAATTGGCATTTGAATTATTTTTATTTTTATTTTTATTTTCACCGTAACTATATGGTCTCACCATTGATTATTTAGTGTTCATCGCTATTTAATTGTACATTGTTTAATATGACGAAAATTGGGATTATGAATCATGTGCTCGACCGTTTCAATTTTGTAAGGATGAAACACCAAAACCTGTATTCAGACTAATGTGTGTGTGTGTATATATATATATATATCGAGAGTATCTCAAGTTTTTAATAATTGATTTTAATTTTATTAAATATGTTTGAACAATTTCCTGTTTTCGTGAAAAAATAAATAGTAGTGTGTTAAGAAAATAAGTCATAAATATAATTTAATGGCATTTAAAATTTTTTCTGTTCCCTTGGCGATGAAAAAAAAAAAGCCTCAAATCTATTTTGCTGCGTATAATTTTTGGTTTGGGCCTGAGGGCTCAATCTATATCTTTAAGCCCAAACATCAATGTAGAGTTGTTAGAAGAATTAACATTATTACATATTTTTTTCGGACTTTATTAAGAATTTTTCTTATTTAAAGATCCATTTGTATCTGGTTTATTTCGTTCGTTAGATAATGTTCTAGAGTTAGTTCTAATATTTTTATGTACAACCTTTTGAATTTTGTGTCTTGATTTCTATCCGGATGTAATTTTGTTTTTTTTTTGTATTTATTCATATTTAAAGATCAATTTGTATAGAGCATATGTGGTTCTTCATTTTTAATACCTATAATTCTAATCATTTTTATATTAATTTTAGTATTTCAAATTTTAATATCTATATTAATTCTAATCATTTATCTTTTGCTATTTTGTTATTTTAGAATTTAATTTTATTGTTTTATCCCACGAATTATTTTTTATTTATTCTCATATAATTATATTTTCCTTTATTTTTTGAATGAGAACAATTTTAATCTTTGGAACTTTATTCGTTAAAATGGACCTTTGGCTTTCTAAATGGTTTTAACTATCATACCAATTTATAAAAATAAAAAAAAATTCAAAAGAAATAGAACAATATCCACCAATCCTCCTCTCATTCAATGCGTTATGGAAAATAAAAAGTTCAAATATGACCAAGCAAATTCAGTAAAAGTAATTCACATCAAGGAATTATCACAATTAACATTTAGAAAATTGGAAAACGTTTTTCTCAAATACAAAACACAATTAAAACATAATCCACAATTTTCTTAAAAAATATATACACAAATTGAGTTGACATAGTTTTATTCTTCAGAAAATCACATAAAAATTTATATCAATTTAGTTAATGAAATCAAATTCTAAATTCATTTGTACTAAACAGTAAACATCTCTTAATAAACAAAATTAGATTAATAAGAACGGACGGATTAAAATATAAATAAATAGTATAAAATTACATCAACCTAATGGGAAAATTAGCACTTTGTTTTTTGCTTTATTTTCTGTATAATTTCCATAACCATGCAAAATTCCAAAACACAGAGAAAGCATAAGCATGACTTTAAAAAGTGTTTGTAGTCAAGATTTAAAAAAAAAAAAAAACTCTATACACGAAATCTAACGAGTTCTAACAAAGAAAATACTAAGCTCTGTTCCCTGGCCACTGCCTTCAGGGTTGATCATATACAAAGCTTCTGAATCCTTCGACCCAATCACTCTCTCGAACCTCGCCCTCATGTACGTCATCTCTCCATCCGCGGCCGCCTCTTTCTCAGGCGGCGGCAAAACTCCGGCGCCCATCGAGACCCCTCTCAGGGCTTGAGTCACGTATATCTCCTCCTCCGACATGTGTTTCCGCCTTATCGAATACCCGATTTTCCGGCCGTTGCAATACACCGCCCACACGTATTCCTCCATGAGCTTCTTCCTCGAGGTCTTGGTCTCGCTCTCGAGAGCGATTCTGACCGTCTCCGAGGCCATTTCCTTCTGCAAAGCCCACGTCAGGATGGGTAGCTCGATGATGAACATGGGGAGGCAGTGGGGGTCTTCTTGTATGGCGAGAAAGACTCGTCCTTTGCGGTACCCGAAGATCGTGCCGGTGGTTGCGTGATCCTTAAGCAAAGGCTTTCGGTGTCGGCTCAACAGGTTCACCATCTTGCAGCCTGAGGACAGCATGGGGAAGAGTTTGAACATTTTGAGGACACCGCCTACTGTTCCTGAGGGTTTCTTGGGACGTTTCGGCTCCACCGTGTTGTTGCCCGTGTGCCGAAGAAGAGATATTACGGCTGAATTCTCCATTTGGAAGAAAGGGCTTGATTGGATGGAAGAAGGCATGTCTTCTTTTGAGCCCTTTTGCTTTCTTCTTCTTCTGATGATCGTATAGTGCTTGATTTTGGTATATGTTTTTTTTTTTTTGTGGATAAGTGTTTGCGCGTAGTTTTGGTGAGGGAGCGAATATGGGGTTTGATATATAGCAAATTAAGGGAGTTAGGGAGATAGTTTGGCATTAGGGTTGGAGTTTGTCCTTTTGGAATCTTTGAAATATGAAACCATTGGCTTAGAGACAAGTGTGGAGATAAAAGGGAAAGAGGCCACTAACCATTTCACATGGGTTCTTTTCATATGGTTTTTTATGATAATGTAGACAAAATAAATCATATAATGATGCCACATAATAACAATAAGATCAAAACCATGCAATATCCCAAGAACCCTATGTTTTTTTTTTTAAAACTCGTTTCTAAACCGAACCATAGATGATTTACCACCCAAATTAGTAAATTCTTTTGGATTTATCTTCTCTAAAGCTATATTTTTTTTTTCTAAACAAAAAAAAAAAAGTTGAAATGCCTTATAATAAGACATTGACATCAATCAATGGAAAGGGGTTAAAATCAAAAGGAGGGTCCACAATGAGCAAAGAAAGGCTAATTACAGCAAAGATGGATGTGACAAAGTTTTTTTTGTTGTTGTTGTTGATTTGAGGAAAAAAAGCGAAGTGTATTTGATAAGGGAATGGAGATTGGAGACCACACCACATAGGTTTTTGTGGGGAATGGGGTCCTTTGGGAAAGAGACCAAAGCTAACACATTTCATTAATATATATATATATATATATTGCTAAACGAAGAAAAAAACATGCAAGCTTTTTATATAAGGGATTTTCGGGAAAATGTGATTTTCTAGTACAAAATTATAAAATTAAATCACAAGTCACAAACTTTGTAAAACTTATCTTTTTAGGACATGCTTAGTTTTCTTATTATTTTGTCATCTCATTGTTTTGAATTGCATATGAGAAAAATTATCAAAACCGAATCATATCAGATTCTATATATGATGATATAATTAAGATATTTAATCTTTTATTCATCAAATATTATCTATATATATATATATATATATATATATATATAATGAAGAAGGGAGAAATTTAAAAAGATGAGGAAAAGGTGAGTGGATTTATGTGAGTTTGGGGAATTCTGCATGTGCAGTTCTGATCACTTGGCGAAAAAAGAGTCTTAAATATCGCATATGAAAAAAGTCCCCCACTTATTAATTATTGAGGGACAACTCCCTTTTTCTCTTTTTCATTTGCTTTCTTCTAACGTTGATGTATGGGCAAAAACTCCTCCTTTTTCTATATACATATATATAATGTTGAGGATTATGGAAGATAATAAATTATAAAAAATATCAATATTATCAATGAATTATATATATTATCATCATTTTCATTGCATCTACTCTCATCTTATAAATTTAAAAAAAATATTATGTGATGATAAATCATAAATTAACGTTGCTTTTATTAGAAAAAAAATCACATAATTAAATGATTTTGTTATCAACTTCCGGAATAATATATAAAATCTAAAATTTTCAACAAAAAGAAGAAATAAACGATTTTTTTTCCAAAGGTTTAATTAAAATTATAAATTTTACAAAAGCTCTCAAAAAATACATAAAATTTTAGAAAGACTCTAAACACTATAGGTTGAACGTCGTTTTGTAAAATTCATGATTTTAATAGAGAGTGTGTAAAAGTTTGTTTATTTTTTCTCAAAATCTTAAATTTTTTGCATATTAACGTAGTAGATGGAAATAATTTTTTTTATTTAGATAAGATTTTTGTATTATTAATAATCTAATGAGTTTAAATAGAAAACTTATTTTTTAATATATATATATATATTATATCAGTATTAAACAGATATTATGAATTATATTTTTATAAAATTTATCAATAAAAAATATAATCTAAAGTCGGCCGCGATGGTAAGTTCACGTTTTTATTTATTAAACTATACTAATTTTGAGTTTGATCCGATCAATATCCAAATCTACAAAGTTGAAATTCAATTTAAAAATTAGAAAAAATTGTTCTCCATAAGAGAATGATCTGAATTTATGTTTAAATTGTATAAAAAAAACATTTGGATGAGAGTGATATTAGTGGATATTATATGTTTGGTTTTCCTTAGACATAAAATAGAATTGCTATTTTGTGTATTTTTTACATTATTTTTAAGTTCCGAATTTTTATTTTTTGTTTACTGTTTTTTATTCCCCAAAAAAATATTTTTATTTGAGTTAAATTATCAATATCCATTTCAACTAGAAATGGAATTGTTTATAATTATGTTTAATTTGTTTGCATCAAACTTAATCTCTAGTTCAATTAGAAATCGAATTGATTATTATGTATGAAATAGTTTTCATCTCTATAATTTATTATACGATTAAACTTCTACTTTTTTTTTGGTTTTTTAAGTTTGTCAAACAATTTTGGAATTTCCCATTTATGTATTTTCGATATCTTAAATGAGTTATAGATTTATATTTATCCGAAACTACAATCTACCGGTAATGAATCGGTGCAATAATTAATACACATAAACGATGAAGTAATATAAAAATTTAGTAAGAAAGATACTGTGCTACGATCAAATTCATCGTAATTTTTATTATTCTTATCAAAACTTCAATAACAAAAAACATTGTTGTAAAAGATAACGATATGATTCGAGTAAAATTAAAATGCAAAATATGAAGTTGATTCTATCAAAAATATAAATAGGGATTGATATTCATGACTTTATTATATATATATATATATATATATATATATATATGATTTTATTGTAGTTTAGTTCTATTGTTTTGTTGTCCCTATTACTACCTTGTAGAGAGAGACATTGGTGAGAGAACTGTTTTCGAGTAAATACTTAGAGATGAGAGATACGTGAATCAAATTCTTTATATTATTGCTTCTTTAATTTTTTTTAAAATCTTTGATTACAATATTTTGTACATATTTTAATCATTTATTAAAGTTTTGGAGTACAACGAAAGGTAAGGAGTGAAGGTTCGAGAGAAAAGAGATGGAAGATTGGACAGTTGATTTTGAATGAAATGTTTGTAACAGTCCAAATTGCTTTGCAGCGGCCCCCTCTCTTGTGGACCGACAATTACTTGCCTTTGTGATTAGACAACATAACCACATTTTCATTATTATTTTTTATTTCTATTTATTTGAATTTTTTAATTAATAAACTTTCATTGTGACATATCATCTATTCTTTAACATACACAAATATTTATAGGAATCCGTTTTAGATATAAATAAATACGAATTTGTATCTATTTTTTTTTTGTAATCGGATGTTTTGGACAGAGTTTTAGATTAATCAAAATTTATATCCTTTTTATGAGTATCTAATAGCAAAAATCGGTTTCTATATTTTAATTAATCAGGTGGACAGTTTTAAACATATTTAAAGTTTGGATTATGTAAATGTATATATGTATATATATAGCCATATATGTGCATGTACATATGTATATGTATATATATATGTATGAGTGTGTGTATATATATATATGTGTGTGAGTATAAGTCTATATATTTGTATATGTGTGTAGGTGTATTTATGAGTATACATATATGTATATTTTATTGCGTTAGTTTTGTTAAATTGTAATGTGATATTCAAGATTGGGTGGTATAATTGGTAAGGGATGGATCAAAACTTTATTTCAATTTGGGTTTGAGTCTCCATTTTAGAAAAATATTCAGTTTGATTTTTATGATCTCTTAAAGAGTTAATCGAAAATCCGATGAATTTTTTGTTTATGAAAAAATTTTAAGGTGACAATTTTTTCTTATGTGGTTGATGTGATCATTCACAAGATTAAGATTTTTCGATTGTCATGTCAATATTTGGTTGACGGATCCTGCTGTGTAGTTTTTTTTTTTTTTGAGAGTTATTGAAAAGTTTATGATTTTAATTAGACGTCCATAAAAAATTCTGTATATAAATTTGAGAATTGGTTAAAATTTCGTGTATTTTTTTTTTGTGCCGATATTTTCATTAGTTTAGAGAATACTTTTGAACTAAAAAAAGTTTAAAAAACTTTAGAATACTTTATACTGTAAAATTATTTATGGAATAGCGTGGTATGGATATTTAGTAGTACGATCGACTATAAACAAACATCTTTGGAATGCGAGGTAAAAAAAAAGTTCTATATATTTAGTATTTGAATTTTAATGAACAATAACCCTCACTAATATATATATATATATATACACACTATTTCTAAACCATTGATATAAAATAAAATACGAATATCCTAAACTCAATAAAAATAAACAGAAATAACATAAATTCAAACCTTTAAATATGTTTTTAAAAATGAACAATAACCCACAGTAGAATAATTTAAAAACTGCTAAATATTAGTTCTAAAAGAACTTCACGAGTTTTTTTATGCGGTAGGAGACGTGATATAAGAAAAAAAAAACAAATTGATTCACTGAGTTTTTTTTAAATATTTTTATCCATATTCTGAGATTTTTTTTTATTTGAATAGACCACTAAATATTCTAAACAACATCTAATTATAAATCGATATTTTTAAGACTTACCCGTTTAAACCATAGGCGGATCCACTTCATTTGAAGTGGGGTCACTGGCCCATTGATTAATTTAGAAAAAGATTATTTCTTATAATTTTTATAAAATTATAAAACAAAAACGTTGAAATGACCCTATAACGTCCATGAATATGTATGTACATATGTATATGTATGACTTAGAAAATGCCCCCAATTATAATTTTTATTAGATTTGCTGCTACTTCAGACTTGATCATCCCTCAATCAACGCACCGATCTCAAATACAACAAAACACTAACAATTAAATTTAATGCTATATCACACGCAATGGCATCCATTTTCATTCCAATACCTCATGAAATTATATTTCAACTATCATATTATATATATATATATATGTGATTTTAGATTTAGGTTAATTGTTTTTTTCACGCACTAACTCGTTTAACCCGTGACTTGTTTATAAGCCGAGTCTTCAGCATATGCTAAAACAATCCAAAACCAAGTCCACACCCAAAACGAACTGATTCAGGAAGCATGAACCCGTTCCAGACCTCAGAGAACATAGACAATGCAAGTTCTTTGACCTATTGCATATAATTATTACACAAATAAGAACAATATTAACTCAAACTCCAAAGTGATCGATGTCATCGTGCTGGGAGGTCCGAGTAACAAATTAAATCAATCAATCAATCAAATCCCTAGTTACCCACTACGGTTCCATCAAAACTCCATCTCCAGTCCCACCACCGCTGGAGGGAGGAACACATTTGAGATGACGATAAATCCCTACTCAGAACTACTGATTCAGCAAGTTCACTCCTTCATACAGAGAAAGAAAAACAACTCAATTTTCTCAGCTTACTTGTTGCTGATGATCACCGCCGTACATAGGATAAGCTCCATAAGTCGCGGGATTGTACATTATCGGGTCATGAGGAGGCGGTATCATATACCCGTACCCGTTGTAATACTCTCCTCCGTAGTACGGTCCAACCCATTGGTTTCGAAACTCGCCCCTATGCTGAAAGACAATCAAGAAATCACTAGTCAATGGTGAGAAGAAACCGAGGCATAGACAGATCGAGAAAGGAAGGCCGCATTATTTTTCAAATCTTACAGCAACAGAACTGGTGTAATTAAAATCCACTATATACTGGTGGTTCATTTTATCTCGATCGAGTCCAACAGATGGCTACTAACATGAGTACAGTCTTGTGTTTGGCTTATTTTGAGTTATGAAACCTGGCGATGAACATCTGAGTTGGACTATGTAGCATTTTGATGCAAGGTTAAAAGGATTAGAACGGGATATGTTATCGCCCCGTACCTGTTTATTGGCCGGATTACGACCCCAAGACAGGCGAACTGTTTGCTGTCCAATTACAGACCCATTCAATTTCTCCAAAGCCTCCTCGGCACTTGTTCTGCCAAGAACCATTGGGATATTAAATCAGTGACAATAACGAAACATGTATATATAAGAGTGGCTTAATCCACGATCTTCATGAATGCAGGAATGTGTCACCTGTTGACGAATTGGACAAATCCGCATCCTTTGCCAGAAGGAATCTTGACCGAGATTATATCACCATACTCGGCAAAAGGTTGCCTCAGATCTTCGTCAGTGACACTCGGGTCAAGTCCTCCAACAAATATCTAAAACAAGAAACATGGATCAGTAGCGAAAAGATTAACCTTCTACAGTACAGTCACACTATTGAGAAGGAAGACGAACAAAGATCTAAAATAAAGAAGAAAAAAAGAGGGAAGAATTACTGTTGTGTTTAATGAGTCCCCTTCAGGACGACACTGGGCACCATTCGACATGTATCCACCTTCTCCCAAAAAACAAACATGCAAAAAGACAGAAAAGAAAGCAAAAGATTGTGAGAAGAAGCTTAAAAGACTAAAGGTTGCTGTTCAATTCTCACAAGCAAATCGTTGCTTTTCGATGAACAATATGCCTAAATCTGAATTTCATGTCTGAGGAGAAAGGGAAGAAACGTCCTCTCTATAAAAAATAATTCTGAAGCCTATACACTTATGAAAGCAAGATTCACTAATTCAAAAAAGTCTAAACTTTATTTGACAACCTTACTGCAGCATAGATCATAATAAGTAAACACAATCTTAAAGTTACATAGTAAGCATAGATTATAAGAAAAATACTGAATCAAATTGCATACCGTGCTGGTAACTGGTTGACTTCTTCGGAGTTGCAGGACCAATTCGCATAGATCTGCTAGAACATTTCGCACCATTCATCTCTGTCATGGCTTTCGTCCTTTCATTATCATCTCCAAACCTCACAAACCCGTACCCCTTTGATCGGCCGGTATTGGCATCGATGACAACTTTTGCAGCCTTAACAGACGGATACTTTACACAGAATGTTTCATGCAACATTTTATCGGTGACATCTGGTGCTAAGTCCCCAACAAAAATAGAAAGATCGGGACCATTCTCTAATCTCTTTTCACCAGTGCTAAAACTAGCCCAGTTCAAACGGAATGTCTGGTCAACAGCATTTGGCATAGATGCCCCGTTGTAGTTCTGTAAAACCTTGTCAGCAATTCCGTGAGAAATAAATTCCACAAATCCATAACCCTCGGACAAACCATTGTATTTGTTGCGGATAACCTTAACTGATACAATCTGCGCAAGGTGTGTGCCCATATGTTAGACAAGATGCAGAACAAACAAAACTCTGGGTGAATATACATAAGATTCAATGGAGATCCAGATGAAAAAACTTATCAAGAGTTACAATTCAGAAATAAAACGAGGCTCAATCTCTACAACACTACTGGTTATTAAGTCACAGCATTTGTCATTTGTATTCAGCCAAAAGCCCACCTCCTGAAAGCTTCTCCAGAGGTAGGTTATTAAGATAACAATCAAACTCGCTCTATCAAGATCCATCATCCAACGGAAAGTACAATGAATAACACTCGCAATGCAGAAAACCCGTCAAATCCTTAACCCTTCCAGATTCGATATTTTTCTTTCAATTCGTGGAGGTAATATAGATTTCCATATGCATTTTTTCTAACAAAAGTGACAACTTTCTTGCGCAAGAATGACACGCATCAATCGAGAAATGGTCCAAAGTGACAACTTTCTTAGTAACCCCAGTGTTACAGAAAGATAAGGAGAGAGAGAGATAGAGAGACAAACCTCGCCTGCAGAAGCGAAACAAGAATTAAGGTAATTCTCATCCATCCAGTGATGCAAATCACCGACCCAGATCGTCTTATTCTCACCATTGGAGCTGCTCTGATGCTTGTTTCCGCGAGATGGGAAATAGTGAGGCTGATACTGATGGTACGCTGAATGCGGCGGCGGCGCAAACATCATCTGATGCGGCATCACCGCCGCAGGAGGAAAATGCATCGGCATCCACTGCACCTGTTGTGGCGGCGCCGGCGACGATCTCCGGTGATTCACCTCCGCCTGCGCTGGAGATTCCTTCCGTAGATTATCCTCCGGTGGATTGGAATCAGAGACTTCGGATTGAATCTTCATATCCGTCATTCTTGGATTCGGCGAGATCGATGGATCGATTTACAAAGACAAATTTTCTAGTTCGGTGACTCGGAGCTTGTAGTGTTATTAATGGCAAGATTAGGGATTTTATCTGCTTGCCTTGGGTAAGGAGTATTGGCCGGGTCAACGGGTTTCTCTAGGTTAACCCGGTTACAACCCGGTTAAAGGTTAACCGTCGGATTGTACGGGCAGTTTAATCCTCACCGTCGGATTAGATTCCGCGCACGTGACGTTTCCCTATTGTTACGGAGGTCACCCCCCCCGCCGCAGGAGGAAAATGCATCGGCATCCACTGCACCTGTTGTGGCGGCGCCGGCGACGATCTCCGGTGATTCACCTCCGCCTGCGCTGGAGATTCCTTCCGTAGATTATCCTCCGGTGGATTGGAATCAGAGACTTCGGATTGAATCTTCATATCCGTCATTCTTGGATTCGGCGAGATCGATGGATCGATTTACAAAGACAAATTTTCTAGTTCGGTGACTCGGAGCTTGTAGTGTTATTAATGGCAAGATTAGGGATTTTATCTGCTTGCCTTGGGTAAGGAGTATTGGCCGGGTCAACGGGTTTCTCTAGGTTAACCCGGTTACAACCCGGTTAAAGGTTAACCGTCGGATTGTACGGGCAGTTTAATCCTCACCGTCGGATTAGATTCCGCGCACGTGACGTTTCCCTATTGTTACGGAGGTCACTCTCTCCAAGTACCTCATTTTCGTGTTCTGTTTTTTATATATATTTTTAACTTTTCCTTTGTGGGAAGGTAAGCAGTAAACTTGCTAATCGCTACAAAATGAAATTATTTTAAGAAAAATATCACTTTTTGAATTTTTCCATAAACGAATAACTTTTTGGACAAAGAATGTACAAAATATATTAAATCATAAACTGAGAAAACTAAAAAAAAATGTTAAAACATAGACTTATATGATCGAGTCCTAAAAAAAAAGAACCTTTATAATGGGTGTTAATACGTAAAAAAGCATTAGTTAGATATATATATTTTAGGATTAAATAGCATGGTTAAGAAGTCTGTGCCACATGCATTTCCAGTATCAGATAGGAGAAAATAAAAAACAAAGAATTGAAAATTTAAAACAAAAATTAGAATTAAGAGGGAAAAAATTACATAAATAAATGGTTTCTTCCACCGTATAAATCCGCAGGGAAAGCAAGGTTGCAGACGGAAAAAGAAATCGTAGAAGATGTAACGAAGAAAGAAAGTCTTGGTACACCCGTTAAAGTGTTGCCGTTGTGATCTAGAGATCATAGACCAGTTTTCGAAATGTGGATAAAACCGTAATTTGAAAAGGTTTGGGAAAAATTTGTTACTTTTACGATGATTTTTTTTTTGTATCTGATGAAAGTTTAAGAAAATTTTGAAAATTCTAAAATATAAGGGATTAAATTGTAATTTTTAGATATTTTTTTTCCTTCTAGCGTCCTCACTCTCCCTTATATTAAAATGTAAATTGTTCTCTCTCCATTATTGCCGCCCATGGCTTGTTTCAACCCTTCAAAAAGATGAGAGTTATGATGAATATGTTCATCCCAAGAATTCTTTGCGATTATAAGATTTTCATTCAGTTGAAAGAGAATTTCGTCATTAGACCTCCATTGGTTTACGGTAATAAATATTGAGATGTAAAAAGATAAAATGTGGTAAAGAAGATGATGATATTATGATGAACGTGAAGACAATTATTATAGAGAAATTAGGTAATATATATAAAAGATAAATTAGGTTTATAAGATGTTTTGATCATATAAAACGTAAATTGATAGATATTATAATTAGAAAAAGAGACAGTGGTAGATTTACTCTTGTTGGTCCAAAGGAATGATTAGTTATGATTTGCAATGTTTACAAATTTCGAAGGATTTAATCCAAAATCGGAATTAACAGCATGCATTCGACTGACGTGAAATAAACATGAGATGAAGGTGTTGATGCATGTGAAATCCAATAGATTAGATTTGAATAACACATAATTGTATTAAGATCCCAATGTGTATAATTTTTCTAAAATTAAAATATATTAATGTAATCAGAATCTTAAAAAAATGAAAAAATAAAGAGCAATGAAAAGCCTAATAGTTTTTTTTTTTAATTGTAAAAAATTCTCATTTCGCATAAATTCAGGTCTGACGTTGTTGGGCCTTTGAGCAAGCCGAGTTCTGAGCCCGAACCTGAAAGCGCGGTACCGTCTTCTGCAGTTAGCGTCAGCCGAAAAGGGAATCAAATGGAACTGGAAGCGTGAGACGAAGTTTTAATTCAATCGGAAATGGTGGTCCTTAGATCTCTCCGACGCTCTGCGGCCACTTTCACTGCCGTATCGGGCCTCCGCTCATCGCGCTCCGCCGCCGCCGCAAACCACCTGTCGCGGAGCTTCTTCGCCGGCGTTTCTTCGTCTCCTTCCTCTAGAGTCCCTTATGGTAATCGAAACTCGGTTTTGTTTGGAATCGTTGCGATAGTACAAGGTGTTTTATCACTGAAAATTTTCATTTCTCCTTATTATTATTTGGCCGTAGATTTAGATACGTTGATCCCTATGATCGATGTAGGGTTTTTTTAGTCTCTGTCAGTTTATGGTGTTTGAAGTAACATGACTGGTAGTTCGGCCTCATGATCCGTTGCGGCCTTTGTGAATAATGGAGAAGAGATGCAAATTTTGGTCGTCTTTTTCTTTATATCTCTCCTGAAATTTATTCGGGAACTTGTACAATCTCAGCTTCTGCCAATTGTAATGAAAAACTTTGGCGAACTTTTATGTCGCAGCTTATTTTCTCGATGCCCTTGACGTCAGGTGTGTGTGTGTATATATCCCATATTTGTTTTATAGTCGAACGTAGTGTGATCTTGCAATGGGAAGTACTTGTACTTAGCGTATAAAGATGAGAGTTTTTGTACTGTGATTCAGCTGATCTTTTGGTTTGATCCAAAGATGTTGTGTTTGTTGTTGTTGGTTGCATGAAATTTGAAAGTTATAGACTTGTAACTAGCTTGATGGTAAACTATGCAGTCTGCAAGTCTCCTCGTGCCATTGACATTGGTAAAGTGCGCTACTTCAGCGAAGACGTGGCTCACATGCCCGAGATAAAAGACACTGATGTTCAGAATGCTTTCAAAGATCTGATGGCTGCGAGTTGGGCAGAGCTACCGGCTGCTGTTGTACATGATGCAAAAATTGCGGTTTCCAAGAACACAGATGACAAGGCGGGTCAAGAGGCCTTGGCAAATGTCTTTCGAGCAGCCGAAGCTGTAGAGGAGTTCGGGGGGATTCTCACTTCCATAAAGATGGATATTGATGATAGCATCGGACTGAGTGGGGAGGTATTGTAATCGGATCGGTTGTTTCCACATCATTTTTGGGGTCGGCACTTTTCAATTCTGGATTTTATGTTAAATGTTAAATACTTGTGCAGGATGTAAAACCTTTGCCAGATGCTATGGCCAATGCACTTCGTACTGTTTATCAGCGGTATGCTGACTATCTCGACTCCTTTGGGCCCGACGAAGTCTACTTGAAGAAAAAGGTTGAGATGGAGTTGGGGACAAAGATGATCCATTTGAAGATGAGATGCAGTGGGCTCGGTTCAGAGTGGGGAAAGGTACTTAAAAGGAATTTATTAACGTCTTTTTTGTTGTTGTTGTGAATTAGTACATTGTCATGAACTTAATTTGATAAATCAATCCTCCATTGGTCCATTGCATTCGTGCGGGGAAAACATCGCGTCCTTTTGGTTTATGGCATGTCAAAATTACAACAGACCTTAGAGGCTTGTCATAACTTTTGTGTAATGTCATATTGGTGTAGACATTATTGTTTATAAGGCAAGCTGAGACATTTGTTTCTGTTTGTCCTCTACAGGTTACGGTTCTTGGAACCTCGGGGCTCTCGGGATCTTATGTGGAGCAAAGAGCTTAATGGGTGGAAAAGGCTCGGGAATGAGAGCATTTCTGCTCTGTTGTTTGTTGCATTTTCTTGTGTATGTATGGAATCATAAAGGTCAGTTCACTGTCCCTTCCAACTGAACTTGGAGCTTTACATTGTTTGGAAAATAAAGTTATAGCTCCGGCTTTTTAACGATCAATCCAATTCTTCGGGTTTGCTTTCTTCCGGGAGAAAAGTCTCCATCTTTTGATGTTTTCATCTGCATATGACCTGTATCACGTTGTTTCCTTCTCTCGCCATTCAAATTCTTTGGTTAACTTGGTTTAACTCAAAATCGAAATGAATGGGACGCTGTTGTTGTAGTGTGGTTTTCGCTGGAATTTGGGTTCAGGTTTTAATTGCTTTGGTTGGGAAGTAATGAAACCCAATAAAATCGAATCCCAATCAAATTTGGTTGGATTCGGTTTGGTTTGGTTATTGCATTTGCATCGGGATTTATCGGTTTCAGAATACAAAGTTCCCACCATTTCAGCAGATTTACTTAGCAGTGAGAGATGAGAAGTACAGAATTTTTAAGATTTTATACATTTCTGTATAATCAAACCAAATGAAAGTTCTGAAGAAAAAAAAGGATAAAAGAAGATTCATATATAAGGTAAATAATATTAAAATTAAACTGAACCAAAAATAAAATGGCTATTAGCTCCAAATTGGGCCTGAAAAAGCCCAGCAGTTTATGATTTTTGATTGGTCATTGAACAAAGTGCCACAATTTTCAAATTCAGTGGGGTCCCAACGGTCAATTAGGGTTCGTCACCCATATTCATATATGGGCAGTCAGCCACGGAGATCATCGTCAACCTCATCGATCCTAGTAAACTCTCTGTTCGGTTTCTGAGTAAACTTAACAAAAATGGTCGTCGCAAAGCCGTCTTCGTACGAAGAATTTCGTCTGAAAAGGCTCGAAGAGAACAAGAAACGAATGGATGCCCTCAATCTTCCTCAGCTCTCTCTCGCTCTCCGCTCCACTTCCCCTAAATCTTCTCCCGTTCGATTCCTCCTTCTCTTTCTATTCAATATGCATTCAACTATGCACGATCAAAGATCCAGATCCATGGCTGTGACTTGTCTGGGTTTGTGTTCATGTCGCAGATGAAGAAGTCTAAGCCTCGGACAAGGCAAAAACAGCAGGTGGCGGTTCGTCGATCAAGCCGTCTCTCAAATGTTTCTTCTCCGGTTTACAAAGAGGCAAGTCATTTCATCTCCTGATTCGGGGTTTTGTTGGGTCTCTAATAAGCTAAAAGTTTTTCACTCTTGTGGTTTAGAATCATGGGTTTTAGTTCGTTTTTTGTGATCTTATGTTCTGAAATTGGATCTTGGCTCTGTTTCCTCGAATCAGGTTGATGTTGAACGGGTGCAGATACCTCGAAGGTGCATTGCTATTATATATTCTTATTTTTCTTCGGTTTCTGGAAAGATCTGCAATTTCTACCTTGTTTCTGGTTTTCGTCCTCTTGTTGTCTATACAATCAAAGCGTATTCCGAAGAATGAAGAACCATTTCTCTCCTTTTTTCCACCCTTTTGTGATGCTTAGGATTTTCAAGGGGAAGGATTTCTCAGACCAATTCTATGTCTCCCATGAGGACAGAGCGGACGCTTTGGCGAAAGCTGAGAAATTGCAAGATGAATTGGGAGACGAGTACCCGAGTTTTGTAAAAGCCATGCTTCAATCACATGTTTCTGGTTGCTTCTGGCTGGTAAGTAATTTGACCCAACAATGAGATATGTTCAGGGTATACCACATTCATCTCTACTTGTAAGAAACATCAATTTGGAGCCGCCATTGAAGTCATCTGCTTTGGGAAAAAAAAGAGGAAGAGCTCTACAAAGATTTTACCCTGCTTACTTTTGTAGGATCTTTGAGCTGTGCGGTCACTTGATCAATTTCGGGTCTTGGGAAATTCTGTGTAACTATAGATTCTAAGATAGCATCTTTTGTGTGTACATTGCAAGAACAAATGAGTCTATGAATCAGGGCCTAGTGGGTTATGTTCATAGATATGAGCTTCATAATCTCATGTCGCGAAATTGTGTTGGCTTCGTTACCGACAGGGTCTTCCAGTTCACTTCTGCAGATCAGACCTCCCGAAACATGATTGTGCGATGACTTTGATAGATGAAGAAGGTGAAGACTACGAGACCGTATACTTAGCCAGAAAAACAGGACTTAGCGGAGGATGGAGGGGTTTCGCCATTGCTCACAATCTCGTAGATGGGGATGCATTGGTTTTCCAGTTGATTCATCCTACTACATTCAAGGTTTGTAAACCATTACTCGATGCCTCGGTTATGCCTCTTGTATGTTATGGTTTGGTTCCGTGGATCAAAACCATTTCGACACGAAAAATTCCTTCTCTCTCTTTCTGTTCTTTCTCCTCTTAAGCACTAAATCCCCAGAAGTTTATAAATTTTGATGTGATGTTCCCTCTTAGGTTTACATTACAAGAGTCAATGGCCGTGGAGAAAGCTAAAAAGCTTCAACTTGGGAGAACTGCTAACGAGGAGGCTTCTTCATTTGTATGTAATGTAATGTAATGTAATGTAAGAGCTGCTAATTCTTGTGTTCATCTGTGGAATTGTTAGGTCTTATCATAAAAAATTCAAGCTTGTATGCGGTATGGTGTTCGGTCGAAATGCACAGAAAACCCTTTTGGAATCTTGTCTTAATTTGGTGTGTCTTTGTTTGTGCTTTGGAGTTGGAGGGTTTCTGAAAGAATTTGAGATTTATCATGGAAAGTAATTATCGATCGAGATTGAGATACCCAAAAGGGCGTAGCCGAGTGGTGAAGATGATTGAGTAGGGTGAAGTCTATTTGTCTCAGTTCCCATGTTCGAACGGGACGGAGATGGAGGTCTCCATCCGCAGCACAGGTTGTCTTCGGATTTTGGAAGATGTAGTCATACCGAAAACACGGAAACTTTCGAGTTATAAAAAAAAATATGGATCGACATAGAAACATGATATTTTGATGTGATTACTCAGGAGAATTCTGTTATTTGGAAAAAATAAATCTTCAAAATTTCCGGGTATATATATGGTTTGGTATTTAAATGACACATCTTTGATCGTTTTAATATCAAATTCTATTATTTAAAATCAAATCTATTCATATTTCAATTCCTTTCACTTTCCGGATTCAAATAGAAGCATCAAAGCATGTGGTGAGAGATCTGTTGTATTGTGCCCCATGTTGTACACTCATAAAAAAATATGTTATATATATATATATATATATATATATATTTAATATAAGGGATGTTGATGTATATATATTTAACATATTTGAAATATGCAATTGAAATCTTTTCTCCCGCTTATTTTTTTTATTTTGGGTGTTTTTTATACCTATTTTGTACCTTTTAGTTATTTAATCTAAATCCATAATATCCAATTCTAATTTTACTTTTAGATATTATATAAATCATTAACTCAAATAATTATGACATATACATATTATACAAATTTCAAGTAATTATAAAATATATTTTCTTTAAAAGTATTTGACCTACCAAGAAAGCCGGAAGAATTTGTTAGATTTTAATTAGATTATTTTTATTATTAAATATTCTATCCGCTTGTAAAAAAATATAATTTAATCCGCGTGTAAAAAAATATAATTTAATGAAAATACATTTGGCCACGTCGACCATGTGGAGCGGAAACGACGACGTTCTGATCTGGCGCCGAATAAACAAAAAAAAACGGTAAGAGTCAGACCGGCGTAAGAATTTCTTTTTTAAATAAATAAATAAATAAATAACAACACAAAATTAATTTAATAAGAAACGAGTCAAGAGATAGAGAGCAAAAACATTTATCCGGCTGTGTGAGAATGGAATTTTTGCAGAGCTTCCGAGCTTTTCGATCGGAGGAAACATCTCCACCTCTCCCCGCGTGATCTCCAATCGCCGTCACCGGCATTGCTTCGTTGTTCATCCAAATTGTAATCGCGTCTTCTATTTCCCTTGTTTTGATCGCACCTCTTCGTCATTTCGTTTGATTTGAGATTTGACATGCTTTGAATTCGTGTATCTCTCTGATGATCGGTTCGTGTTCCGGATTTTGGATCGCTTGGTTTGGGTATGTTTGTTGCACTTCTGTACGAGCTTTGTTCGATTTTTGACTGGATGGGTCCGCGAAGGCAATGATTCTACGAATTTGACGATCGCGGTCTCCGTTCCCTAGATTTTTTATTTTGTATATTCACTTTTAAAAGATTTGAATGATTGCGCTCCTGGTGTGATCGTTTCAGCGTTTCTTGTTGCTTCTTCATCGATCTGTACTCTGTAATAACGGAAGAAACTGATGTTCGATATCAATTTGGAAATAGAGTTACTTTGCAACCAAGTGTTAGCATTTGTTATTACATGTATCCTGAAACTTTTATCATGATGTGTTTTTTTAGAATCGAGATTTTCTGATTGTAGAATTGGGTTTCGATTTTTTTTTTGGCAGGTCAGTTGTGTTAAGGGGTTTGATGGATAATTAGAGGTTGTTAGAGGAAATTCCCTTTCTTTATATAGAGAGTTTTGTGCTCGCGGGAACAATGTCAACTAGGGGAGAACATCACACAGTTCCACTTTCTGTGTTGCTTAAGCGGGAATCTGCGAATGACAAAATAGAGCATCCTGAACTTGTGTACGGACAGGCTAACCAAAGCAAGAAGGGAGAGGATTTTGCACTTCTAAACACAGAGTGCGAAAGGGCCACAGGAGATGGTGTTTCTACTTTCTCAGTATTTGGGGTATTTATTTGTGTCTTCTTTCTTCTTTCTTTTTGGTGCTCTTTCTTCAGAAAGTTTTTCATTAAATCTTTAATTTTAGAGCTTCTCTATTGGGTGTGATCTTGATAGTTTGTAACAGTGAGGATTAGTGCTGGACATGTACAGTAAGAAAATTGAAAACATGAGTCTTGGGGCGTTTATGGGCATTTCATCTACATTCTAGATGTGTACCCCTTTTCAAAGTGACGAGTACCAGAAACATTGGGATTATTTGTGCTCCATTGCTTTTATATGAATTGGATAGTTGTCTGATATGACTGTACTGGTGACTGGTGTACCTTTAGGTTTTTCCTTTTAATGATTGATTTGATGTGTGAATCTGATTTCATTTTTCAGATTTTTGATGGACACAATGGAAATGGAGCAGCTATCTACACTAAGGAGAATCTCTTGACCAATGTGTTAGCTGCAATGCCCTCCGATCTTAACAGGGATGAGTGGGTTGCGGCCCTTCCTAGGGCATTGGTTGCCGGATTTGTGAAAACAGATAAAGATTTCCAGGAAAGAGGTGTGGTTACCCTCTTGAGATAGTGCTTATTGTTATTTCACTATCTAGGGAACCGAAGCCTTGGAATGTGGGGTCTGCATCTATTCACTCGTATGCTATTCAAGAAGGCTATCTTTGATGTATATTTGTTTTGGTGTTTCAGCAAGAACTTCTGGAACAACTGTGACGTTTGTCGTAATAGATGGATGGGTGGTAACTGTTGCATCTGTCGGTGACTCTCGTTGCATACTGGAGCCTGCAGAGGGTGGTGTCTATTATTTGTCTGCAGATCATCGACTCGAAATTAATGAAGAAGAGTAAGCCATATATCCCTTCTGTTGATTTTGGTTGTAATATCTTGTTATATAAGGGTATTCAAATAGTTTGATCCTTCTTAGGAGGGAACGTGTCACAGCGAGTGGTGGTGAAGTTGGTCGGCTGAATACTGGTGGTGGTACTGAGGTACTTTTCTTCGGATCTTTTACCATGTTTTATCCACTGTGCATAAAGTCACTTGATTCATGATGTTGTCATTATTAAATTAAATACCAACATAAAGAAACAGAGATCAAGCTTCTTACATGATGATGCTGTCAGAATTATGGAAATGACATGCACAGAGCTATATGGATTCTCTACCAGATTGGAGCATGAAAACTGCAATATGCTTAACCTGAGTACCAGATGTGTTCTTTGACCAGTCACGAATGATCGACTTGTAGCTTTATTAGAACGTTGACCACGTTTTTGTATTCTTTGAAATAGACGTGATATTGGTTGGGAATCCATAGGCTGTCAGGTTATCCCAGATTGCTTGAATTTCACATGTGTCAAACCCTCTTTCGGTGTAGAATGTCAACACTATTTTATTCGCTGAACAATTTGTTTTTCCAGATTGGTCCTCTGAGATGTTGGCCTGGTGGTTTGTGTCTGTCAAGATCGATTGGAGATATGGATGTTGGTGAATTCATTGTTCCAGTTCCTTATGTGAAGCAAGTCAAGGTTTTTGTCTCATACCTTTTAACTTCAATCTTCGAAAACCTTGCCGGAAATCTTAACAGTATAATTAAGTTAAACCTAAAAGTTCATTCCATCTTTTTGTTTCTCCAGTTGTCTTCAGCTGGTGGTAGGCTTATCATCTCTAGTGATGGTGTATGGGATGCTTTGACAGCAGAAATTGCTCTTGATTGTTGCCGGGGATTGCCACCAGAAGCCGCTGCTGAACAAATTGTCAAAGTAGTGTATCTGAGCAAGCCTATTTTGGATTTGCACCTTCAGTTACAGATGCACTACATTCTCATCCTTTTTCATTGCAATGCTATTCATGTTTTTCCTTTTTCTAGTACCTTGACTTTATATTTTTTTTTTTTACGTAGGAAGCTGTTGGAAAAAAAGGTCTTCGTGATGATACAACCTGTATTGTGGTTGATATATTACCACCGGAAAAACCAGTCGCTCCTTTACCGGCTCCAAAAAAGCAAGGAAAAGGAATGCTAAAGTCCATGTTCAAGAGAAAAACTTCCGACTCTTGTTCTAATATTGATAAAGAGTACGAGGAACCAGACGTGGTTGAAGAATTGTTTGAAGAGGGTTCTGCTATGCTTTCGGAAAGGTGTTTTATTCTATGAAACATGATTCCCGCTATATTCAAGTATGTTTTCATATGATCTTTCCAACTTGATTTGATCTCTTACTCATCAACTTTATTTCGATTGCAGATTAGACACGAAGTATCCTCTTTGCAATATGTTTAAGTTGTTCATGTGTGCGGTTTGTCAAGTAGAGGTAAAACCCGGGGAGGGCGTCTCCATACATGCAGGATCATCTGTTTGCCGGAAGCTTCGTCCTTGGGATGGTCCATTCCTTTGTTCAAGCTGCCAAGAGAAGAAAGAAGCCATGGAAGGGAAAAGACCAACTGGAGGTAACATTATTCATATTTCTTCTCCGAGATACTTGTTTAATTAGCAATTCCATTACACCCATGTTAGTAACTTCACTTTTCGCAAATGCTAACTTTTTTTTTTACTCTTTATGTTTCTTAATATCTTTCAGACATACACAGTAGCTAGAGCGATTAGCAAAACATCCGCGATTTGTGTATTCAATGGCAAAGCAACTAACAACTATTTCTTCAGCACTGACGCTGATTCTGTTCGTGCTTATGGTGTCGAGCTCCGACTTTGATAACCGAAAGATACCAGCAGCCTTTCATTTCCGGGCAACACCTCGCATCAGCTAAAAGTATTCGTTTTCTTTCACGTGGTTCCAGCAACAAATATATCCATCCACAGGGTCCAACCATTGTCAAGTTTTAGAGGTATATTCCCTTTTATTTCCTCTTTGATTCCATTTTTTTTGTGTAGTTCCTCGTTGCCACGGTGCATTTGGTATTCCAAATGGATAGAACTAACAGCGAAAGACGGTATAGAATCACAGCTTTGAAATCACGTCTCTAGGGAGGTGATGTGGGGTTTGCGTGAAATTTGTTCATGTAGATTAGTCGGGACAAAGAAGAAGAAGATCAGATTCATTGTAACTTTACATGTTAGGTGCAGTGATTTGTTTGCTAGGGTTGAAGTTAAGGTTCATTTCTATGGAAACTCTATTCTATAGAGCCGTGTTCCTAAATCTCTCCATCACGGGCTTCCCCGTCATCTGAAGGATGTAGTTGAGTTGAAAGCCTCGGTGAATTTCCAAATTATTACGAAAAAAATCATCATATATATCTACCTTTTCCATTTGTTTGTTCTCGCTTCATAGATTAGTGTTTTTTTTTTTTAATTAAGTTATTGAGCTCGCCCGTTTATATCAAGACAAACCATCCATATGTAAATGAACCATCTAATTCTAAATCTCTCTACAAGAAATTAGGAGTGGATTTTTTTAATTTGGATTAGATTTCTGATTACCAAAACAAAAATGATTTCTATTTAGAAATACGCTGGTGATTATTAAACGAGTTCGTCAGTATTTGATTAATCACTCAACGTGAAAGATACGACGAGTGTTTTGTAAATGACAGGTACGCATTTGACCAATACAGAAACCCGTTCATACAGGTAAATCATAAATTGAAAGCTCGCAATCGACGGTCCAAATTTACATATATCTCTGTTCGTCATCGCTTGAGTTGCAATCAAGGTCATGAGCTTCACGACAGAAGATGGGAGTTGCTGTCTTAGGCTTGAGAGAGAAGGCATTATTCAACTCAAGTGCGATAACACTAAATTCCATGCTCCCAACCAACCCTGAAAACACCCTTTCAACCAGAAACAGTTGCATACATTTGCCATCATTCAGCAAAACACAACTTAGAGACATCGATTCCCGGGTTCAGGGAGAGTTTGGTACCACGTAAACCAGTTCCAACAGAGAGAGGAGAAGGATGAAGAGATCGGACTTCGCCCACAAGTTATTGGACGATCTTCGGTTGAGGAAGGAACAACCCACACCCTCTAAGAACCCCAGCAACTCCAGCTCCATTCCTGCAGGTAACAACTAAAGATTCCTCGGGGCTATGTATGCATGCATGCATGCATGTACAACATCCATAACATCTGCCTTTCGGAATTTGTTTTGCAGAGGAACATGGATATACCAACAGAGCATACGAAAATGTAAGGTTCCCCTAACATCTGTTGGACATACTCAGTCACTTTGGTCTGAATCTTCCGGTTAAAAACGGCCTTTGTTTTTTTGGCCAAACAGAAAAGTCCTCAAGGGTTGGATATGCAAAAAAACGGTTACAATGGAGGAAGCGGATCACTCGGGGGAGTCGAGTCTCCGAATCGATCTATCGGAAGA